GGGGAACTCTGGTCCTCACTTTGAGCATTGCTTCCTGGTTCTGGCAGGAAAGATAGTGCACTTCTCAGTCTCCTGGAGAAGCTTGTCACACTGGTTTTCCTGATGGGAACTTGGTTCATTATCGGAGGCGCTTGGGACCTCACTGTTGCTGAGGATGGCTGTGGTATTTTTCAGAGGGAGTGCTAGTTCTTACTTTGAGCATTGCTTCCTGGCTCCAGTGCAGATCCCTCAGCTTGTTAGCACAGATCCTTCATCCAGCTGGCCTAGACTTTCTAGCTTCCACCACTGACCTTTGGGCCTTGCCAGCACAGATCCATGAAACAGGCCTCCATGAGACAATGTCATCGGCTCTTGGCCTCCAGTTGGACTCATGGGGGGCATTGTTACAGGTTCTAGGTCTTTCCCTGGACTCATGCAGGACATTACCATGGGATCTAGGCCCTCAGCTTGATTGTTTTGGGTCTTTAGTGTGTGGACAGATTTCCTGCACTCTCTTTGTATATTATTCTTCAGGAGAAAATTATAAAATAATCTTATAAAATATGTGTCCCATATTAAATTGTTTCCCTTGTAAACCTCAAACCATAACAGAGTTTTAATGTATACTTTATCTTTATTTTCATGAAAAAACTTCAATTTAAGAACTTTTCATTTTAATTCCCAGTAAAGAAATCAAATATTTGAGAAATAAATAACTTACCCAAAGTCAAATAGATAATGAAGGGGTTGACATTTAAGGCCATGACTGTCCAATTTTAATCCTTATAGCTGCCTTTAGAGCTGCATTATTAGTAAAGGGTAAAAATAAATAAAACCTTACTGTCAGAATGAAAAGGTAACAGATAATGTGAAATTGATCTACTTGATATAGAGAAGTTGATTCACCATTATTTTTTCAATAAGCTAAAACTGATGGAATGGCTGCCTTGTGACCTTTTGTTTTGTTTTGTTTTGTTTTGTTTTTTTGGTTTTTTTTCCGGTACCAGGAATCGAACTCACAGCGTTGCGCTTGCCAAGCAGGCTCTGTGCCGCTGAGCTAAATCCCCAGCCCCCTTGTGACCTTTTGTTCCCTATGAACAACTGGTCATCCCAGATCCCTGCTGCACCACCATTTTACTGTGTGCTATGACACCTAGCTCAATCCTGATAAAGTACTGCACACATGTCCTAATCAAAAAAGAATTTTAAAGCTAAAACATAAATACCTGATGAGGTTGCTTATGTGATTAAATGAGTTATTTAATGTAATAAATAAATAAATAACTTGAAAAGTAGCATAAGGTAATGAAAAGACAAGACTAGGAATAAGGATATGTAGGTTTAAGTGCATATTCTAACATTATTTATTCTGCTTTACCCAGACATGAAAGAAAGTTTTCGGAACACAGATGAAAAAGAAAAAGGTCGTGGATCTTATGAGATATTGTTTTTATTCTGCACCCACCCTTCTATACCTCCATTTCCCTACCAAGTAAAGAAGACATAAATTATCTTTTGTAATGAGAATAATCACAATATCAAGTCAAAAACTAAGCACACTTTCAGAATTATTTTCATGGTACAACTTACATTTTATAGAACTACAAAACTCAGAGTCTAATGTAATATGGTTACATAGTAAACTGAGAGCCAGTTAGACTTTTGCCTTATTTGTGTTCAATAAACTAAAATAATCTGCCAAAAAATTAACTCTAATGGTAGGCATTAACTGTAATAATAATTTTTCAGGGCTTTAATTCCTAATTTTTTCTTAATTGTTGCCATGATAAATAAAGGCACAGGGAATGAGTGCCTAAACCTAATGGTACTTATTGAGTTCAACTCTATGGGGACTAATCTTTTGGCTATCTAACCAATCACTCCATATTTTCTTTAGAAACAATCAAAAGGAATTTATTGAGCATTCTATTCGCATAATGCTAAGGAATCTATATGAATTATAGTTTCAGCACATATTAAGTGTCTCTCCAACTTATTTCCAGAACGAAATCCTCCTTAAAAAGAGAAATATGCAAATTTTAATTAATCTAATGGTAGAAAATAACTACTAAAATATTTCTTATAAGAAATTAGGCTCAAATTCAATATGTTGTTCAGTAAAAGAAATGGTGGGTACCTTCAAGGAATTTATTGTTTAGGGAATATAAGATTGTTTTGCAGCCCAGCACAATTTAAGCCAATCTTAATGGATTGGTGAGGCAGAGAAGAGGGGTAAAGACATGCATGATGATAAAACGGTATGAGTAAAACCAAAAGGGAGCATAATCAGTGATTTTTTAGAGAGATTTTGAGTATTTGCATACTTTCTATTTATGCCTATTTGATTTTCCAATATGTTAAACCAGACCAGGAACTGTAGGAAATATGCTGAGTGAATGAAATAATTTGAACCTTTAAAGGCTCTTTAGTATATCTAAGATAGGTAACAATATTGGTAAGTACCCTATTCCTGTCCTTATCTCTCCAATTTCCAGTAGAAAATTCCTCTAGATTGGTTTTAAATCCATTCCTTCACAGTGTCCTGGAGACGTTGCTATTCCTCTAAATAATATATTCACAGAGGATAATTACTATGCACTATTGCATTTTTTGTATCAATTAAGCAATTGTCAATCTCTGATATTTAATTTCATTAGAACTCTTTGACTATAATCATAACTCTCTTCTTGAAGACTGGATCTAAGTAACTCATTTCAGGGTCATTGTTAAGTGATTCCTTGTGTTGCTCTCAGGTAGCTTTTGCCAGTTTTTTCCTGACCCTGAACCTTACTAGAAGGCTTCATATTTCTATGGTGTTAATAGTTTCCTTAAAATCTTTAATATGCTTCTCATTTTTATGAGTTGTTGAGGAGAAAACTGTAATTCCGTTCCTTGATTTCTTTCTTAAAACTGCCTCTGCCCATATCCTCATGTTAAAATCAACATTATAGTTTAAAGATAATTCTTATTATAGCTTAACAAGTCATGTGAAGCACAAATGCTAGACATCATCACCACGTTGCAGATGAGATAACAGCTTGAGTGATAGAAGAACTTGGTCGGGATTATATAGGTAAGAAATTGTTGAAATGGAATTAGAACTCAACTCTAGTTAGTAACAGTCAGTCAAAGAGTAAGCTAAATCATACCTTCTTAAAACTCCTCACCAGTGTTTCAGGAAACAGGCAGTAAAGAGACTGGCTATTTTCTAACCACAGAAATACTTGATCAAGGTGACTGCATATAGCCCCTCCTCTAAAAGTAAGAGTAAATTTGAGATTTCAGGAGACTACTAATAATTTCAAAAAAGTCGGTAGGTCAGTTTGTTTTTGTGTGTCTCCAAACCTAATGGATATTAGTCATTAGTTATTATAACAACAGGCCAATTTCCAAAAATGGACTAATGTTTCTCAAATAAGACTTGAAACATATAAGGAAATTTCTACAAAGTTGAAGGAAAAATGAAAGCAGTGGCCAGAGTGAGCACGTTTTCTTAAAAGCATTATGCTAAATAGAAAATAAATTCACTAAAGCAATAAAATAATTTTGAATATATTATGTCTCTATGAAACAAGTGACTACTTTGCATACTTATTTATATATGTAGCAATATTTACATTCTAAGAAATTCTAGGTGTCAGAAACAGCTAATCACAACTCAGTGAACCAGAGCTCAAATATCTGGCAACCTCACCTATCTAAACACAGCTGACAGATCTAGGAGGAAGTAAAATAGTCTTGAATTGCCAAAAGAGATGTCATAATGTCTATGAACTAAAACCTGTACACTGTGTTCTACAGGTGATTTTTCCTTTGCAATACATGTACTGTTCTAATAAAATAAAACAAAGCAAGTTTTACTCATTTTTGCTATGGTAAAACTCTGTTCTACCTAGCTTGACTAATATGTTTTTGAAGACATTAAAGAGTAGAATGATAAGGAGTGCTTATGAAGGACCAAGAAGGGAGAAATGAGAGCTTCAAAAGCTAGATAGATATAAGCATTATACATATACACATAAAAGAATTAAATATTCATGAGGCCATTTTAGTATAAGAACAAAAAATACTACTGTTTCCAAAGGTCCAAGAGAAATGTTACATTGAGAACAATAACTGATGTTTGTACTAATGGCCCTCAGTGATCCTGAAAAGTAAAATGCTACTTTTTTCCGTAATAACAATACAAACAACAAACATTTTTAAAGTGCTTTAGAGCTCAGAAAGAGCTTTCTAAAAATGTCTCATATTTATCTCATCTAGTTTAGCCCCTTTATGTGGAGATAGTAAAATTAAAATCCAGAGAGAAAAAATTTTCCCAAGGTCACATAGCTTTCCAGTGACCTTGTTCTGAAACTGCAGTCCTGATCTTCTGAATCTTACTTAATGATTCTTTCATATAGCATACTACTTTGGTTAACACAAACTGCTTAAGTGTTTAAGAAAAAAATGGATTTTAGAAAGATTTGCACCTCATATGATCTTTTAAATGTTCAGTTATTTAAAGAACTACATGATCATTTCTACAGAATACTGATACAACTTTCTAAAATGCAGACTCCTAGAAGATCTTTAGATAATCTAGGTTTTATCTTGTCCTCCTCCCCACCTCATGGTAAATAATATATGCCTTTGTTTTGATAAACAATCACTATTACAAAAAAATTCACACAAAACTGTAAATTTCCAATCTTATAAAGAGAAGAAAACAATTCTATAATTTCATAAAATAACTAATTTAAGGTCCTATTTTAATAAAACCCAGTATAAGAAAATTTAAATTTTTCCAGTGGAGGAATTTGTATCTCAAAATTAATTAGTCATGGAGATTTTTTAAAGCAAATTTTCCATTCTTCACTTATGGTAGGATTATATTCACCAATATATCTTTACTGCTAAAAGTTGACGTCATACTAGACTTTAGAAACTGAAAAACTATATGCATGTATATGATTCTCAACTCACTGATTTAAATGTATCAAGGGAAGTTGTGACTCTGGTTGTAAATGGAACAAACAATGTAGGCAGACAATGACACAGTTGATTTTAATTTACAAATATAACACAAAATATTCTGAATTAGTGCGAGTATATAAAAACATGTATCACATCAGAAACACACTCACAGACATTCAATTCAAATGAAAAGATTTCATAGTAAGCCCTGAAACTCAAAAACCTTTCATTTTTAATCTCTATTGTTCAAGTAGTATATATTTCTTAAATAAAGTTAAGACCATATAGTTCTGATGTATAGTTTTCAATGTTTGGAAAATCTTGAGTGTTTTCAATTTACTTTTTGTTTCTTTCAAGAGAAGGTGAAAAGATTAGACCACGTGCTTAGGAACAGGATGCAATTCATTCTGATGTTCATCACTTTAGGTAAAAAGTATGTTCTCACATAGTCCATTGAACAATTTCCATTTAGACAAATGATATAGTCATGAATAATTTTTTCAGAAGAATCATTCTGAAGATGTAAGAAAAGAAGCCATGTTTCTTTAAAATGACATTATTTTAAAGAAAATATCTTCAAAATAAAATAGATACACTACTAAAAGAGTAAAAACTGTTCTAAGTGTTTCATTACATTCTCTTGAAATCATCCAAACATTCAAGAGAGATAGTTTGAAGATCCTCTTTCCTTTGCTGAATTTCCAAAGTACTGTCCTTGCATCTCACACAAGACTGAATAACTGAGTTGCCACTTTGGGAAAATTGACTACGAAATTCTGAGGTCATGAAATAATATACAATCGGGTCAAGACAACAGTTCAGATTTGCAAGGCACAGCGAAATAATGTGGAAGCATAGAGTGCTCTTAATAAAGGAACAGTTTGAGAATACCTGTTGCTTCACCATCATAAAAAATGGAAAGTTGAGATGGTAAGGAGTAAAACACAAAATGAACACCACTGCACACATCAGGACCATCCTCAAAGCCTTTTTTCTTTCTTTGGTATTCTGAAGGGGCTCTTGGACTTCCTGTAAAGATTTCCTTGTTTTCCACGTGCAATAAGTAATAATTACAACAGGCAATACAAACCCTCCAAGTTCAGCTGCAGTTATCATGACAATAGAGGAAGCCATGCTAACGTTGTAAAGCCCTAAATCAGCAAAGCAGGATTCACTGTTGTTGGCTAAGCCAGTGCTTCTGAGGATGGGAAGTGGCAAACAAGCAGTCCCCACGATGACCCAGATGGCAGCACTGATGCCCACATCATACCTGCGCTTCCAGGTTCTGGCTCTGAATGGCTTGAAAAGAAAGAAGCACCTCTGAAGGCTGATACATGTCAGGAAGCAAATGCTGGCATACATGTTGAGATACTTCAGGTAAAAGCACAGTAGACAAAGGGCCCTCTGGAAAGGCCAGTGATGGTTGACATAATAGTAAATACGGAGGGGTAAGGATAGCACGTGAGCAAGGTCAGCCACAGAGAGGTTGATCATGAAAATGATGGCTTTGTTTTTCTTCCCAATGAAGCGGCACAGAATCCACAAGGCTGCACTGTTGGCCAGAAGACCAGGGATGAATATGATGATGTACGTGGTTGCATAGAGGGAGTATTGAAATGGCATTTGAAGGTCAGTGCACTTTCCTCTTGTACTGTTTGTGCTGTTACTTCCCATCTTGAGGATTTGTTTTCCTTCTTTAGGAAAAGCATTAGAGTGATGATTTCTGCAGAAAATACAGTAAAAATGAAATCAAGAGAATGTCAGTTCATGTTTGAATGTACAATTATGATTGTTATCAACATAGAAACATTCGGGTATGAACTTTTATAAATTTAAAAAGACATCTCTGTATACTGAAAATATGTCAATCTACAAAGGGGTAGCAGTAGTGAGGAAAGTACTGTAAGGAATCAAAAGGCTTAGTATTGCAGTAACAACATGAGGTAAGTTTTCACCTTAAGAGGAAGTAATTAAACTTTTAGAGCTAACCAATAAGCAGGCCCTCTTTGCTAAATAACTCCCAGACACATATTCTAACAGTCATGTGGTTCACCATATCAGTTGTATAGTTGCCTCTGCCTATAGATTTCAAGCTTGAGAATTAGCAGAGTTCACTATCATCAACCCCAGGAGAAAGAAAACTTAATCTACTTTATAAAGCATTAGATGACTGCTAAGGTAAATCCACGAACAATCATAAATGAGATGTGAGATTAAGATCTGCCAGGTAACTGGGTTGCTGGAGAAAAGCAACCTGGGAAAGATAATGTAACTCAGCTAACCTTTGTCCCTCTTCTTCAGAATTTGGTTAAGAGAAAAATTCATCTTGCTTTGTAGAAGCTCCTGTAACTAATCCTTTTTTGTATAATAACAGTGTGTGATAGCTGTAGATAGTCACATTTATTGTGACTATCTTTGTAACCATTTTAGGCAACTACCAGAATATGTGCAGAACCAGAGGTCATCTGGTAATAGATGCCTCAAAAAGGGGACTACAATTCAGCTTTCAGGACACCAGTGAAAAGTTGTTAAGGTGAATGTTTGCATTCTTAATAATGGTAATTTTACAAAGTTCTTCCCTTGTGAACCAAAAACTGCTCGTCTGACACTTCAGCATAGTTATGCTCATCAAATCCGGATAAAGTCTACTCCCTGTTACACATGAAAGCTTTCCAAATTCCTGAAGCTAGCAATTCTGTACTCTCTCAAATTTTCCTTACTCAAGTTAAACTCATTGCTAATATGACAATGTGCATGTCCTTGGTTTTGTTTTATTGTACAATATTATAGCTTTTGTGCAAAATCTGCTACAGTAAAGATTATTTTATCCTTACAAATGAAAGTTTAGCCAACAACTGTTTGATAATTTTTAGGAACTATGATTTATACATCTGATGGCAGAAACAAAACAATAAACAAGATTTTAATATTACTTTATAATTTCTACTGCTTGTAAATGTGATTAGTTTGCTGCATATTTCATGGAAGTAAAGGAAACATGGGACAACCATAACATTAATTACCTAGTACTCAAATGTAAAAATAAACATATATTTTACAACAATTTTTAAAACATGAACACATAATGCATCATAGGGTCTAAAATAATGTCTATTCAACCATAAACAACCAAGTAAAATCATAAAAATGTAGTTGATCTGTGCATAGCTTACACAGTACCTATTTAATGCCTTTACATTGACTACATGGAGCTCTCAGATGAATATTTATTGAAATGATAGTTTCCTGCAGTCAAATAACAAGATCATCCAGATTAACAGCCACTTTGAATGTCTTTTCTTTCACTGAGTTAGCTGCATTGTTGAATTGGCCAATCAGTCTGGAAAAGGAAGTAAAGCCAACATTATTTGACATTTTTGTCCATATACTAATTAATATAATTGATATAATGTTCTATATATTCAGCGTAAAATTTTCAAAAAGATAACATGTAAAATTGGGCCAGAACTAGTCTTGAAATACAATTAAAGTTAACATGAGGTGTAACAAAAACCTACGGTTTTTACCTTAAAAAGATATATTATATAGTAAAAGACACATTACCATTAATTCTCTCCAAAATACTGCCCCTCTCTTCAAACATACTTATACACTCATTCTTGCCACTTTCTGAAGCAATTCTGGAAGTTTTCTTTTGTGAGTATCTTTAGTTGAGCTGTCATGGCTTCCAGGATCTCCTGAATTGATTAAAAATATTTCCCTTTAATGTACATTTTGACTTTGAGAAAGAGCCAGAAGTCACAGGGGGCCACATACAGTGAATAAGGTAATGAGGTGGATAAAGACACACCTTAATATTTTTACAAGCTTGCCTTGTTTTTGGATGACAATAGCATTAACTATAATTTGATCATACCTTGTACTTTGTACAGTGAAAGATGAGTGTCAATAACTACTCCCAGAAGTGGCAAGAATAAGTGTGTCCACAGTGAGACAGAATGTTTTGAGAAGGATTAATGGTAATGTCTTTTTTTATCCTCCCAAGTTTTTTTTTATCTTTTAAAAATTAAGTTTATTAATACATCTGTGCAGTATACCGCATTTATATTCCTTATAGGAAACTGGTACATGTACATAACACTTCTTCCTTCCTTTATTCACCCACTTTTCCTTCCCTCCCTCCCCACTCTACAATGGTTAATATAAGCCACACATCTTTAAAAATATTATTTTGGGCATCTGGGCCCTGAGCATGCCCTGAGGTGCCTGGAGCACTGAAGCAGGCAGTCCATGATCTGCTGACACAGTGGTTTGTGTCTAGGCCTTGTGCACACCCTGAGCTGCCTTTTGACACTGGACCAGGCAGTTTGTGATCATGTCAACCTTGCAGTCTTTGTGTAAGTCCTGTGTGCACCTTCGGCTGCCTGGGGACACTGGACAAAGTAGTCCATGATCTGCTGCCATCTTGGTTCACATCTGAGACCTGGTAGAACTAGATACACTCCACCAATGGCCTGGTGACCCACACTGAGCAGGCAATCTCCACAGTCACTGAGGTGTAAGCCTGAACCCCCAGGAAAACTATGGACACTACGGACCTTTGGTGAGCTGCAAGGGAAGAGTGAGACAAGGCTCTCTGCCTATAGGATAAAAAAAATAATGTGACTAAAGATAAAAATGCAATCTCAGAACTCCACTCCAATCAGAACAAGTTCAGGAGATATCAACATAGGAGAATTTGGTAATCACACATCTGAAATCACTGCACTGATTGTAATGGAAGTAAAGAAACAATTGCATCAGGCCATAGAAAAAATTATATCAGAAATAATCTCTCAGGTAAAAAAAAATGAAATGACAACAATAATGAAAGAATTGCTCAGCACATCTAAAGAAGACATATAAAAAATGATGAGCATAGGAACTACAATGCATGACACAGATTAAAATGGATATCCATGGTATCAAAATTTCTATTGAAAACTGGCAAACTGTTTGACAAAGCAGAAGATAGAATTGTAGATCTTGAAGACAGCATTGTAGCTAATGATGGTGAAAGGAATGATCTCCTAAAATTAACAAGGAACCAGGAAACATCAATTCAACAGGTGCCAGATGATGCAAAGAGAAACAATGGAAGATTACTAGCTGTCAATGAAATAGGAGGAGGCAACACAAATGACAAAAAAGAATATTTGCAGACATAATCGCAAAAAAATTTCCCAAGCATGGAAAAAGAATCTTTCATAGAGTAAGTGAGGCATATAGAACTCCAACTAGTCATAGCCAAAATAAAACTACACCCAGACATATAATAATAAAGATCCCAGAAATCCAGCAAAAGACCAGAATATTAAAAGCCATTAGACAAAAGAAACAGATCACCTCTAAAGGAAAGCCCATCAGAATCATGGCAGAATTCTCAACACAAATCATCCAGTTAAGAAAAGCTTGGACTGAAATATTCTAGGCCCTGACACAAAACAGCTTCCAACTCAGATTGATGTATCCTGCAAAACTATCCTTCAAATTTAATGGAGAAATAAAATATTTCTATGAAAAAGAACAAATGAAGAGCTTCATGAATGCCAATTCAACCCTACAAAGAGTACTAGAATATATTCTGTAAAGAGAAACAAATGACCACAATTTCAAGAATAATAATGGAAAGGAATCATCGAGCACAGCAAGCAATTAAATTGAGAGAAAATGCAGGAAACCAACAGCAAGTATATGACATGACAAAGATAAGCCAATACATATCAATTATAACCATTAATGTAAATGGCCTCAATTCACCAATCAAAAGAAAGAGACTAGCAAAATGGATCAAGAAACAAAATCCAGGCGCCCAGGCAGCCAGTTCTCCGGGAGCGGCAGGGCTCCTGGGTCCGAGAGTGGGCCGGACTCATACCACCGCGATTCCCAGCC